CAGATTAAGCTTGAGCGAACATCGACCTCAAGCTTGTTTCAGAATTCAGCATCAAAATGAGACAGTTGGCAGCATGAAGATATAACTTTAACATGTGATACTTCAGTGCAATCCCGAGGTTCTGCTCTATACAAGAGATACATAGTAACAGACTGCAAAACGATGCCACTTCTCTGGATCGTGATTTAGTACCTGCGCCCATACAAGCCAACGATCCTATGTTCCTGAGCTTGAGAACACTTACAAGTTTCCAGGGATTTCACGATCTACCTCATCACATGGAAGTATTGGTTGTGGATGTCTGCTACCCATTCCTGGATGCCTCTTTTCGCGCTCGTATGCCGAGCCACTAAGTGGAACGTTATCAAGTATTTCACTGTCTAACGTGGGAAGAATCCGCGATCATGAAATACATTTACACAAGTCTGAAATTTGGTGTACAGCAGATAGAGTACGACGAAGAGAGACAAAAACTCTTACAATTGCTGCCCATACAACTCATCCTCAGGAGGATGGCAATATCACAATGGAATCCGTAACCACACCAGCGATTCCACTATTTAGCACGGTATTGCAAGCAGTCAACACTTCTGTTGCACATACCGCAATGGTGAACAAAGGCGATATATGTGCACTTCGATGTCCGACAATGGAAAGCTTACAAAACCTCCCTCTTTGCCGTGTTGAAGGCACATGCAAATGCTTCTCTACGGACTTATGCAAGAACACGAATATTTCTCGACTGATTACTTTGATGGATAAGAGGCTGCCACTTTCTTCCTCATTCTTACAACTCCAAGAAGCCCATGGAAGAGTATTCGCAATTAGCCACAAATCTGTCGTTGATCTAACAATTAGCACTACCGGAGAACGGAATGCAGCGTATCGTCAATGACGAAGACTGTGGTGTCACAGCAACGCCTGTTCAAGAATGTTACAACTGTTTGAGTGGTGCGAAGCTCACCTTTTCTTGCCAGTCAAAGCATCCGATAACATGTCCGCTGCATTCTGTGATAAGAATACAGTGCAAACCGTGATGATATTCCAAGCGAATGCGGCAAAGTTTACCGATCATTGCTCCCTACAGTGCGGAAAGAAATATCACACCTTCAAAAAATTTGGAACATTGGCATAACATCCCTACGAAGAGGCAGTACACCTTTTCAATGAGACGAAAAAGCTTCATGTATGTACAGCTATCCAGATGTCATGCACATAATCACTGTTGCGTTGTCATCGTGGAAAGTCATCATCGCAACCGGCATCACAGTTATAGCACTAGTCAGCTTTACAATTGTTTGCTTGCCAAAAAATGTTGAAACGTTTTTTACTGAAACTAGAAGGAGGAGCCTAACCTAGTCATGTATATATTATCCTATCAAACTCGTCATCACATAGC